TTCAGATTTGGATGGTCCATTCGGATGTAAATCTAGATATGTCGATTGTGAGGTGGATGAGTATCGGTCTTTTCCGTAACGCACCCACACCCTCATTATTCATTTCCCAAATAGTTTGGTGTTGTATGGCTTTTAATTGAAGTTAATTTAATTGGTGGTACAATATTTGGTTTTCCAGCTTTGTTTAAAATTTTACCACAGTATGGAATTTATGGTGATAAAAATAATTGTTCATTATCATCATTAATGAATAGGACAGAAATAGAAATTTGAGAATTATCTTTCAAAGCACATCAGACAAGGCAATATCAAGTATGTAGAGACATAACAGATTATAATCAGATGTTTTTTCATAATGGTTAATTTTAGAATGCATTGACATTACTAATTATTTTATTTGAAATTCCATCAGTAATTATTGGTCTATTGATTGATAGATTTCGATGTCGATTTGTTAAATTAATTGCAATGTATATATTACTTTTCTCTCGTCTGTTATATATTTAATTCTAAAAAAATCTTATGTTTTTTTTTTTTAAGAATATTTCATATTATCGAACAGTAAGCATGCGTGCATATAAATATTCTATATTGTAAATGTGATTTTATTTAAGGACGAGATTCATTTTTATATGTTCATACAAGTTTTTCATCTTTGGTTGGTATTATTATCTTATTAACAGCTTATACTTCAAGTGATTATTTTTCAAAGTCAAGAGCTTTTGTTTCGACTTTATTTGCTGGAGTATGTACATCAGCTACAATATTGGTGTATTCAATATTTCAAGTATGTTATCAAACATTGTCTTTTTCGAAAAAGAAAAGTTGATTTTATTTTTTAAATTATATTCGTTTCGTTGTTTCTCCTCTAGGTTTTAATTGATGCTAAAAAGATAACATTGCAATAACTTTCTTACATATGGACATCATTTAGTATATTAATGTTAATTAGTTCATTTATATTTCTTGATTGGAAATTTCCTATTTTAAATTGATCTTATCAATTTGATACAAAATTAGAAAAATATTCATTCAAATATCATTACTAGTAAAATAAATTTAAAAAAACATTTAGATGAAGATCAATCATCAAACAATAGGGAAATAGATAAAATGAAATAGTATATAAGAATTTTGAAACGACAAGGTGTTTGGCATTATTTAACAAGTCCAATGTATTTATTGATGGTATTATTTTTAAGTATTCTATTATTACCAGGAATTTTTCTTGCTGTAACATGATATCGATGAGTATATTATATTACAAAACAAGATACAATATTAAGTAAGTAATTAATATCTTGCTTTATTCCATAATTGTTTTATCTGATGTTCTCTTTTTTTTTTGTCTATTTTAGCTAATAAATATACATTTGCATTCAATTTATCTACTATTTCTGCTATTCTTATTTGTTCATTAAATGGTTTTTTACTTGAATTTAAAGCTGATAAAAGTAACATTCTAATTTTTTTTTGCATATTGATTTTAATTCTTTTTTTATTTAGGTAAGAAACAAAAATTATTGAATATATCATTAATGCAAACAATATCATGGCTTATAAATATTGTCACATGTATTATATGTATGTTTGTACAAAAAGGTATGATTATTTCAGCATTGATAATCAATTGTTTTGCATGAGCTCCAATTGTTGGTGGAAGTTAAGCAGTCATATTCTATAATAGTTGTTAAAATTTTATCAGAATAAGGATGGGTATGGAATCTCTTTGATCAAACTCACACCCACACTCTTTTCGCGATGTCTGTTCTTTCCTTGTCTAAATTTCTCTTGGTCGTAATAGAACGATTGGTCACGCACATTTAAATGCTAATTTTTTTGGTACAACTAATAGGAGAGAGAACTACGTGCACACTTACATGACCCAAGTGTATGCGATGTAATCGAACGAACAGGGGGAGAGAAAATGCGTCTACTCACTAGAGGAGAAAGTGAAGGAATGGAAAAAAAATATTGATATTCATGTGTCACTCGATGCATTCTCATTTATATGAAAAAAAAACTGCTCTATGAAACATGCCATGTTATTTTACATTTTATCTCAAATATTACATCTTACACAGTAATATCAAATGATACAATCACTTTAATGACACATCTGCATAATGTGTTCTTTGCAATTGGAGACTCTCATAGACTATATCATATATTCGCTGATTTTTTTGTGTGTATAGTTATAAGCGACAAGAAAACGAGTTGATGTAATTATCGAAAATATCGAGAAAACATGGTATGGCACTCGATGATGATCAAAAAGACAATTCAATTATGTTCGATGAAAACATACAAAATATTCGTGTGATCTGGCTTGACAAGACTTTCTCTTACGTGGATACATGTCAAAGAGCAAAGATACGTTTGCACCATTTAACTTCTCTTCTAAAGACGTTCTTCGAAGTCAAAGAATGTTTCGACTATATTCGATATATGGTCGATGATACCCAACATGTCCTTCTCATTCTATCGATCGATTCGTTTGAAAATGTCAACAATGTTATCGAAGAGGCCACTCATTTAATTCAAGTTACTTTCCTGTATTTACTAACTTCTTCAAACAGTAACAGAGAGCTACCCAAGGAAAACATTCGTGCTATTTTTGATAACGAAGATCATCTTTTAACCAAACTTGCAGAGGACATTGCATTGTGTAATAATAAGACTTTAAAATTTAACATATTAACACCGAGTCGATCAACAAAAGATCTCACACGTCAATCAGCGAAATTCATGTGGTACCAATATCTGGTGGAAATCCTTCTCGCTGTTCCCGATGCACAGGAAGCCAAAGATGACCTACTTGAATTTTGCCGTTCCAACTACGCCGACAATTCAATTGAACTGGATAAAATACTTGAATTTGAAAAGATCTATAGTTCAGAAGTTGCTATTAAATGGTATACACGTGACACATTTCTCTTTCGTCTTGTTAATAAAGTCTTGCGTGAAGAGAATATTGACGACATGTACAAGATTCGTCTTATCCTATCCGATATTCATATACAACTTGTTGAATTACATGGAGATTATCTGGAAACATTACTCGATTTGAGTCTCTACCCATATTGTCTTACTGTCTATCGAGGTCAATTGATGTCTGCACGAGAATTAGATCAACTGAAGTGGAATATCGGTTGTTTTATTTCGATGAATAGTTTTCTTTCAACATCAACTGCAAGAGATCTCTCATTGATATTTAGTGGACAAGGACAACAACGACCGCAACTGGAATCGATTTTGTTTGAAATAACAATTGAAACGAGCACATGTGAAACGGCATTTGCTGATATTCAATATGTCAGTTGGATGCAGGGCGAAGAAGAAATTTTAATTACAATCGGTGCCATTGTTCGTATTGACTCAGTAAATCAGATCGACAATATTTGGATTGTGAAGTTAACTTTGTGTAACCAGAAGAGTCACGGTATCGAACAGTTAACTGATTATTTTCCTGATATAAAAGATCATCAGCCTGATCTGTTTACATTTGCACAATTGCTATTCGACGTAGGCGATTATGGAAGAGCGACAACAATTTATCGTCGACTTCTCTCTTCGATTTCACTTACCGATAAGCGAATGACAGTTCTATGGAACAATTTAGCTATGTGTCTCAATCATCAAAGCTATAAAAACTTATCAGAGATTATGAACTACTTCAACCAAGGTCTCGATCTCGTTCCGACCGAATCATCTTTTTATTCTATGCGTATAAATATGTTAACTCAAGTAGTTGATTGCCTTATAAATAATCAAAAATACAACGAAGCCAGGGAAGTTCTCTATCAGATTAGCACGTTGATCAATCAAGATATCAAAGAACATGGATTACAAGACGAACATATTATACAAATAGCTCGCAATACTATGATTGCTGGTATGGCTTGTAGTACAATGGGAGAGTATTCGAGTGCACATGAACATTTTTGCTTTGTTCAAGATATCTATTTTAATCATTTACCTAGTGGACACGAAAGGATATATGATGTTTATCTCTATAAAAGTATCATGCAATCGAGCAGTAAAGGAGATACCATTGAGTCATTAGAATCAATGCAGCGATCATTGGAACTTCATATAGCTTCTTTACCTCCAGATCATCCTTCAGTTGCTGATATGTATAACATTATTGCATGGATTTATTTACGTCATAGTGATGTAGTAAATGCCCAAAAAGCTTTGGAAACATCCATTGAACTTCGATTGAATGCTACATTTCTAAATCCAGTTCATCTTGGCCACACTTATATTGGCCTTGGATATATCTTGGGTGGCGACGAAGGTATGTCCTATTTAGACAAAGCATATTGCCTTTTCAAGGAACATCTACCTCCGAACAATTCAAAATTTATTCAACTCTACATGTCTAAAGCAGAAATTTATATAGAAAAGAATGAACTAGAACGAGCACGATCTTATTTGACTGATGCATTAAAAATTGAACTTGAAATAAAACGATCAAGACCAGGAAATGGCTTAGCTCATATTTATACACTCTTTGGAAAGAGTTATCTGAATGAAGGCAAGTACGCGCTAGCACTGGACTACTTACAAAAATCGATTAATTTAATCAAAGAATTAGGACCTCATGCAAGATTGGAACTACTGGTAGCCTACAATTTCTTAAATCTTGCTCGAGTATATCAGGAACAAAATAACTTAGAATTCGCCCTCTCGTACTATCGTCAATCATTGGACATCTATTCTCAAGTTCCTTTGATTGATAAATCACGATTGGCACTACTTCACAATCATATTGCTATCGTACTTTCATTACAAGGGTCATACGAAAAAGCTTTTATACATTTTCAGAACACTCTCGACTATCGATTACAATATCTTTCCTTTGAATCTCATGAGTTATTTACATCTTACATAAATCTTGCGATTGTCTCGAAACATTTACGAGATGATTTACATTTTCTTGAATATTATCAAAAAGCATTAGACATGATCTATCGTACAAATTCCGATGGAACTTTAGAAGCATCTTCAATTCACAATGAGATTGGTAAGTTTTGGGAATGTAAGGGTGAATATACACGTGCTCTTGAATCGTATGAACTAGCCCTAAAAGTAAACAGACAATTTTTAGATGAACATCATCCATCGTTCACGATAAACTATAATACACTCGCTCTTATTTACTCTGAAATATGTGAACATGAAAAGGCTATCAATTACTTTCATACAGCGTTTGTTCTTGATGAACAGAAAGAGTACAAAATGATCCTATTGATAAATATTGGAATGGAATATCTTCAGTTGGAACAATATGAAAAAGCAGAACTTTACTTCGAAGAAGTCCTTTTGCTGTTTAAACGAGGCATTTTCCTTCAAGAAGAAGATAGGAAAAGCCAATTGCTCTATGCGACTGCTTTCGAATCTCTGGCACGTGTCAAAGGACGACAAAGGCAATATCAAGAGGCAGAAAAACTGTGCCGAATCGCATTCAGTTTACGATTGGACGACTTGTTAGTTAGTGCTATCTCATTCGTTACTTTCGGAAGTCTACTAAGTGACCAGGGTGATTTTGATGGTGCTGTCATTTGTTTTCATAGAGCAGAAATGGCCCTCAAAGGGCTTGATGCTTATCATCCGGGTTTGGCTAAAATTTATGCATTTCGAACAGGCTCTGCATATTACAATAAAAAACAACTTGATAAAGCTCTAGCATACTACCAGATGGCCTTGGAATTAACAATCAGAGTAGCTCCTGGTAATCTAAAGCAAATTGAACGGATACGATATGGCATTGATAGGGTCATGGATCATACTCTTGATGTAAATTAATCGATCCTATCAACATTATTCAAAACATCGCGGAGGGCGTGAGTATGGGTGTGCAGTTTGGACGTGGTTGAAGACTAGATCCACATCCTATTAATTCTTCCTATCGTTTAACATTTAAATATGCTGGATTGTAAAGTGTTGTAAAACATAAAATTTGAACACGATGCAAAATTTTTTTATTAGTTTTTCAAATTTATCAAAACAAATATAATCAAGTTTAAGAGAAATATATTTTAAATATTTTAATTTAACAGGAGATAATTTCTATTTCTATATAATCAGATTTAACAAGAGGATTAATTGATAAATAATGAAGCTAAGGAAAACAAGATAATAAATTATTAAACGGAAAACAACCATCTATTATAAAATATTCAATAGGACTATAAGCATATTCAACAAAATGAACAGATAATGGTGTTTCTGGATTTTTTTTTTCGTCAAAAATTAAACTTTTCCTAATCGAAATCTTCTAAATATTTATTAAGAAATGACACAAAGTTGCACCTGAAGAATAATGTGCACAGGAATTTCGTAAGTGGCCGTATTTTTTTTTTTTGACTTTGGAAAATATATGATTTTGTAGCTTTTTAAAAAGGCTAGTAAATGAGCAATAACCAACCAATTGACGATTTATAATTATATATGGGATTGAAACTCCATCAAAGAGCTGCTGGATTCATAATTTTAGTAGTATTTTGTCTTGTCTGCTTATTCTTAAATTGAATCTACTATGATACGATGAATTATTAGAAAAATGACTACTTTGTTGATAGCTTTCAGATTTTAAAATTTGATCAAAATTTAATGAAATTTGTACCAAAATGTTAGTTTCAACATGCTTGTCCCATTAATACACGATTCAATGGGGTTAACCAAGAAAAGTATTAATAGGGCGGTTGACCTTCTTATGCATCGCCTCCTTTCACTAATATCTTTTGTTACTATTTGTTAACCGGCATTTTGTAAAAAAAAAACAACACATTTATTTATAAATAACTGTCAGATCGACCATTTATATATTACTTGTTGGACTTAAAAAGAACAAAATAAGAAAAAAATTACGATTTGACTTATAAAAATTTATTTACCTGGTATATAGAATTATTTCAAAACAAAAATTCAATCTTACGCTTGTGATGTAACTCGACCATCTCATTTGATTTTTTTTTCCTTTTAATATTCGTGCTGGTACAATAGGTATTGATGGTCGGGAATGAGTTATCCTATTCGAAAGAACGTGAAAAGTTATGTTCAAAACCAAATTTTTAGTTCTTTCTGGAAATCCTTCTAAAAGATATGAAGAGATCTTTGAACCCACCCTCAAGTACTGTTTGGATGTAGGTATTTGTATTCATTTCACCCACCCTATCACTACTTGTCATCAGAAATGTTATAGATGTTGCATAGTCGTAATAACACGTTATGCGAACGTATATGATCAGATGTTCAATTCAAAACTATCTCTTTGAATTCTCCCATTCTATACTTTTTTTTCACTCTTTCAACTTTGTATATTTAACTATAAATACATAGTTTGTATCAGAGACTAATTAAAATTTTAATTAAATTTTTGTGTGTCTATATGCTAAATTTATCGATTTAGAGGAATTTGAAAACTTCAAAGCGGAGCTACAGTACACAGTAGAAGCTGCATTTTTTAAAAAGCAATATTTTTTCTTATCAATTGGTGAAGGTAGAAGTTTTTGAATTTGTATAATTAACATTGCTTGGAGGAAGATGTACATGTTATAAAAACGAGTACAACAAATTGCTATTTTCAGTCGATCTCTATCTCAGTTGGCAGATCTTCATTGTAGTTAATAATCCTTAAACTTAGTTGGATCAATTCCATAACTTTTGACTCATAAAATCATGATACTTTATTTCTTCACTCCAGCTTTTCAAAGTCAATTGTCATGTCAATTAACGAAACAAATACTGTATAAAACTAGAAAGCTCTATTAGGTTTGTGGACAGAGAAGTAATCATGAAAACAGCTGCACATAGATCTACTTTCAAATTATTCATCTTAAAATAAATTAATAGAAACTGACTTTTTTAAAATAAAATACACAGGATAAAGAGAACATAAACCCTATACTGAAATAAGCTTTATTGGCTCATATTTGAGACTTGATGAATGGATTGCTGCTGAATCGAATATAGAGAACGATTTCGGTGCACGCACATGTTTACATTGAAGAGAAAGTAGAAAATCATCAAGAGTATCTCCTTTTTGTTTTCATTGACAGAATGATAAATGAAATTATTCAATGTGTACATGTTCTCTTTTCGAAGGCTACACTATGTCATCAACAAGGTTACATGTTATCATTTTTTCTTCATAGATTTTGCAATCAAATAATTATTAAACAGCACATATTAATATTTGGTGATATAATCAATTGATTTATTTCATTGAAAAAAACTTT